ACCGGGCACTACTTCATCACCACGCTGCTCTACTCCTTCTTCCTGGGCTGCTTCGGCGTGGATCGGTTCTGCCTGGGCCACACCGGCACGGCCGTGGGGAAGCTGCTGACCCTGGGGGGCCTGGGCATCTGGTGGTTTGTGGATCTGATCCTGCTCATCACCGGAGGGCTGATGCCCAGCGATGGCAGCAACTGGTGCACCGTGTACTGAGGGAGGGGTAGGGCTGGAGCCCCCCCAGGGCACCTCCCCTCGCTCCCAGCACAGCCCAGACTCTGCCTGGCACAGCGTGGACTGACAGAGCTGGAACTCACCGTGCAGAGCAGTTCCTCTCGTTAATGCTTCTGTACAAACCTTGGACACGTTGTTCAGTGTATATTTTGCTTATTTAAAATAACCTGGATTCTCTCCCCCCCCACTCCCCACATGGTGACAGCTTAAGAAATCAGACCTTGCAAACACAGGAGGTCAAACAAACCTTAATAAAATCTGGAAGGAGCTGACTCCAGGTAGTTTGGGGATTAATAGAGTCACAGCCACACAGAGATGGAGGCCAGCCCCAGGGCCCTGGTTACCTCAGGGTCATGGGCCACTCGGCCAGGGGACACAGGGTCTGAGGCTGGAACCTGTAAGGTTGAGTAACCCCTGTGACAGGGACTCTGTGGCAAAGCCAGGAGCTCTAATTCCAAGTTATTAACACCCTGTTCCCTCCCTCAGGGGAAGCTGGGTTAGGTTTGGTAGAACCTGCATCCTCTGGAGAATGTTACTTTCCCCACTCTGGCCTCTCCAAAGCAGCTCTTGTCACTCATTAGTGACAGGTCTCATTCCTGCCTGGAGCTGTCTGGAGCATCCAGGAGCTGTCAGAGCACTGGGAAGGGCCCCAAGCTGCCCAGGGGCAGCTCCTGTCCATGTGCCAGGCACCCCTCCAGCCCCAGCCCCAGCACGGGCTGCCTGTGGGAGCTGCAACAGCCTCGCACCCAAAAGAGGAAGCCCCACCAGCTGCAGGCTGAAAACTTACCCAGCTGAATAAAAAGGGGAAAAGGAAGCTGCAGCAAGTCCCAACCAGGGCCAGACACAAAAATCCGTGTATGCAAACGTCGGGTCACACTTGAGGTGAAACCGCAAACACACTGCTGGTCTCACACAGCTCTGCAAGCTGAGGCCCCTCCAGCCCTTTGCCTTTGGCCACCTTCTGCCTGTGGTTCTTCTCCTCCTGTGGAGCTGCCCCGGGGCTCAGTTTGGCCGGGAATTCTGCCTGTTCCAGTTTTGCTTTGTGGCTCATTGCACCAACTCCTCCTCTCGGGGCAAGGGGGGGTTGTTGCCCAGTTAGGTCACCACTGATCTGAGTTTGGCAGCTTCGACTGGGGTCAGGGGGTGGCTTCCTCCTGAAACTGCCACATTCCTCAGCAGAACAACTGGGCTGAAAGGTCCGTGGAGGGGAAAAAATTCTGCAGCAAGCCAGAAAAAAAAATAATAATCCCATGTGCAAAAGCCCATTGTCATGAACAGCTCCCACGTCCCAGCCCCCTGCTGCCAGCTCACAGTGGGACCCCAAATTCCTTCCTGCACCAGGCCCTCCTGAGCTACACTGAGGAACACTCAGGGCCTTGGTCTGGCAGCTTCCCTCCTTTCCACACCTTCAGAAAGGCAAAGAGAGTTGTGACATCCCTGTCCCCCCAGACCCAGAGCCCCCGTGTGTGCAGGGCAGCAGCACCCTGAGAGTGGGGGGCACCCACCAGTGGCCTCGGGCTCCCCCAGCTGCTGCACCCTGTCCCCCCACCCCAGTGGGGACAGCGTTCAACACCCCGGCAATTCTTACCCAAAATACACAGTGCAAAGGGACAGCCTGGGAAAGCAACTGGGATTTCCCTCTTTATTTAAAAACACAGGGAAGAAAGGGCCCTCCAGCATTTCCAGGCGAGGGGCGGGGGGCAGGTACCCCACACCCTGGCAGTCACAGAGCATCACCCACACGAGGCCCCCGGCCCTAAGAGCACTTGAAATCCCCAGCCAGCACTCACAGGAACGGCTGCAATCACCTGGGAACACCCATCAGAACAGAGCAAACCCTTCTCTCACACCACTCTGCCCACAAGGCACCCCAAATCTGCAGCACCCCCAGGAGAGCCCCACAGCACGGGAGGGATCAGCTCCAGGGAGGTGTGTCCACGCCAGAGAGCTGGGAGACAAATGTAGAGCTGAGAGGACACCAGTTTGCTTTAAAATCACCACAAAGCTCATCGAGGTCTGGCTGCATCCGCCCTGTCCTTCAGGATGGGAGGGAAATTCCTCTCCCCAACACCACCTGCATAACAGATGGGTCTGGAGCGCAGCTCAGCTCCACACTTGAAATTCATCTGCAGCCTTCACGCTGTCCTGGGGATGCAGGAGGGTGGGAATGAGCAACAGGAATGTTGCAATAATGCTGGAGTCACTGGTAGTTTCTCCTCCTGGATAATTAACCCTAATTGTGCAACAAGCTTCTGTTTTACCATCCCAGGCCTGAGGAAACTGTGCAATTATCAAGCACCAGGAACACTCTGGACTCTGTGGTTCCAAGGCCTTGCACGAAGGAACCATCATCCCTCTGCATTCCCTGTTCTCCAAGACTGAGGTCAGAGCGCTGTCACCAAACACTGTGACTCTGATGGATGGGCTTACCAAACTACTAAATCACTCCTGAAACACTGTGTTAGGAGCCAAACAGCAAGTCAGCCTAAAAAAATTAAAGATTTCAAACTCTAGTGCAAATAAAGCAAAAAAAGAGCAGAAAAAGGAACAGCAGGATCTGAGTTGCTACAATTAAATAACAAGTACTAACACTTGCCCTGTACCGTTTTCATCGATTCCCACTTGTTTTCATCATCTCGATGTTCTCCAGCACCTCCACACAACCCCTTTAGAGACCCCTGAACTTGGGGGGCCCCATCCCTGCCTCCCCCAGCTGCACTAAGGCAGCTCCCCTGTGCCTGCCCTGGAGCAGCAACACCGCTCCCCAGAGGGGATCAAGGCAGGAAGGTGCAATTTGAATCATGTTAAGGTCAGTTGGGCTAATCAAGGCTCAGAGCTCAACTGATAAAGCTCTGCTCAACCCTGGGCTGAGGCTGAAGCACAGCTGTCAAACAGCTGGAGGCCCCAAAAGGGCAGGGGGAAGCCAGATGTTGTGCTCCTGGGGAGCACGCTGGGCTGAGTGTGCAGAGCAGGGGATGTGCAATGGCCAGGGAAGCGAAAGGGGAGCTGTGCCCTCACTCAGCACCCAGGGATTGCACTCACTTTCGGGGTGAAGGTATCAGACGATCTCGCTGCCAAGGGAACACCTGGATTTTCTACACACTATTTATCACACCTACAGGAGCTCATTTGGTTATGGAAATGACGATTCACGTTGCTCTAAAAACTCGTGGTGGTTTCCACCTCGGGCAGGCAGGGGGTGAGTCAGCCAGACAAGTCTGCCCAGTTCCATCAGGCACTCGGTTTTCGGTGCTTTTTGCTAAAAGCCCTTCACCACCCAGCACAGCTCCCTGTGTCCAGGTGTGCCCAGTGCAAAACCAACACCGTACCTGAGGATGCTCCCACCTGGGAGCCACCGCTGCTCCAGCTGCCTGCTCTGGCTCGTGCTCAGCAAGTACCAAAAAACATCTGGGGAGGCTGAGCACCTGCCCGGGCTGGGGTTCAACAGGAGCCACACATATAAAAGGACGTAATTAAAAGCCAACAGATTGCTGATACACCCCTGGGCAGGCGGTGGGAAGAGCTGGTCCGAGGGGAATAAGCCATTGGAAGGGGAAGCTGCAGGGAGTCCCCTGTGTGGGCAGCTGTGGGCTGGTATCTCTCAGCTCTGCCCCACTCCTGGGGAGTCTGAGCAGCTTCAGAGGGGACAGAAACGTTTCTCAAACACAAGAAAGGCCACACTTCCCTTCATGCTTCCAAGACCTCCTGCCGCTTCCTCCAGACTTGGTTTTTGGGGGAAATTATGGAGTTGCAGAAGATGTCCCCTCATCCAGGCCCCCAGCACCTCCTGCCCCACACAGCAAGTGCTGGCAGTGCCCGGAGGCACCTTCCAAAACATGGAGCCACCGGGGCCAAGCCCGGGCAGGAGCAGCCGGGGCAGAGCAGGGCACCAGGATGCAGGTCCAGACCGACCCTGCCTCGCAGGGAAGGGCTGTGGGGAGGGAAGGGACCACCCTGCACAGCCCCAGTCGCCCCTCAGGGACCCCCGGCAGCCGCGGGTGGAGCGGGGGGGTGGCTCGGTGCCCGGTCAGACGTCGGAGGTCCGGATGCTCTCGTCGTCCAGGTCGAAGGCGAACGGCTTCTCCTTGAGGTGCTGCGGCTCCGACCTGTGGCGCAGGCGCGTGCCCGGCGCGGCTCTGCCCGCGCGCTCCGTCAGCGCCGGCACGAACACCGAGTCCCTGAGCGGCTCTGGCCGCTTCCCCTCTGCTGGTGGCACCTGCGGCACCGGCGTCCAGGGCTGCCAGGAGGAGCTGGACGGGGCCTTGCACAGGGCTCTCCGCTCCTCGGCCGCCGGCCGTGCCGGGGATGGGGCCGAGGAGCCGCCGGGCCTGCCCATGGAGGTGGATCTCATGAAGGACATCTCCTGCAAGGACAGAGCAGAGCCAGGCTGCCGGGTCTGGGCGTGGACGCTGCGCCCTGCCTGTTTCACACACTCTGCAGGAAAGAAAAGGGCCCAGAGCAAAGGGAAAGGCAGAATTCCACAGCCTTTGCCACCCGTCAGGCTCTCGCTTGTGCCTCGGAGCAGAGCAGGGCTCATGCAGGTCCACTTTGGCACCTGAATGTCACTTCTCCAAAGGAAGCTTTTCCAGTGACTGGCAAACCCAGGGAGGGCAGGGATCTCATCCTGGAATAATCAGTCTAACCAAGCACTTACACTAAATAAATATCTCACACATTGGCCTGAGCTCCATTAGACACTAAATAGGAAGCAGAAAGGACATGACCTACCCTGGGGCGGGTCTTCAGGGCCTGGACTGCGCCCGTGATCGCCCGGATCCAGCTGTGCATGTCCTCGGGGCTGTCTGCCTGCAAACACAGCAGCCCAGTGAGGCTCTGCCTCCTGCCACCCACGATGCAGCCACGCAGGGGCACACGAGGCACCCGCTGTCCTGGCATTCCCAAGGCTCAGCTCTGCCTTTTCCTGCTCTCAAACAGCCCCCATCATAAATAAGCCCAAGGGAGAAGTGAACAGCTCTCACCGTGTGTTACAGCCCCACCTGCCCATGTTCACTGCTGAGGGGCTGCAGGGAACAGCCCATTTGCTGAGAGCTGCCCCAAAAACTATCCCGGCCTCGGCTGCTCACCTGGATGTAGAAGGTCCTGGAGCTTGTTATGATTTCAAAGAGGTTGTCCCGCATCAGGAGGTCACTAGAAGCAGTGAGAAAGAGACAGTCACCCCAGCAGCCATCGTGGATGGAAAAAACCTGTGTTTATCCTCATCTCTGGGGCATGCCAGGGAGAAACATATTGAAGGCAAACCTTGGGTCTCATTGGGACTTTGAGAAGACTCCAGGTCCCCAGAGACCCTCGGCCACACATCCTCCCCAGCTCTGCCATCAGCAGGCAGACCCCTGCCCTCCCTCACCATAACCCACCGCGTTCCCAGCTCGTTTTAAACGTCAGCTTGCTATCACTTATTTGGAATAAATAATTCAGAGATACATCAGTACAGTATATCTTTACTTTAGCCACGGCCGGAAAACACGGCCAGGAGCATTACCCAGACTTGACCAGGCACTCGTGGGTCTTGCAAACGTCCTTCAGGAGAATCGAACGCAAGGGCTCCTTGTCCTGCAGAGGTGAGAGGAGGCAGTGATGGGCTCGGCTGGGATGTGCCAGGGCCCCGCGCTGGCACAGCAGTGGTGCCAGAGCTCTGCTCGGGGTCCCAGGTGGGGGCTGCTCACCTGCTCACACTTGTAGTAACTGATGGAAAACTCATCCAGGACGAAGTACCGCCGCTTCCAGCTCTTCCTCTGGAAAAGAGGAGGGAATCGCTGGGCACTGGGCTCTGCCACCCTCCCTACCCACGCCGTCGTGGTGCTGCACGCA